AACACAACATAAATCTGTATTTGAGAGAATATAAACAGTGAAGGTGTTTGAATACAATGTTGAAAACAACGATGAAAATAAAAGAGATAGTGTGAAAACTATGAGTCGATGACTTTGATAACCAAAAAACAATATTTCTTTTTCAAAATCTTTTCATTTTTATAAACATTTTTTCATTCAAAGCGAACCGATCCTATTTGTGACAGACATAGTAATCTGAGGGTGGCAATATCCAGACTTGTAGAATGTTATGGTATCTACAAGTTTTTTCAGAACGGTGGACTTTCAGAGAAATCTTTCGACGGCCAAACAATGTTGAAAATGTGCTATTATGAAGTTTTGTTACACCTAATGATTTTTAATAGAAAAGTTTATGAATGAATTGCAAGTAAACTTCACACGCATAAGAATAGTAGAGAAGATGCACATATGACAAACTATCTTTATTGACCATATGGTCTATAGTACATTTAGTTTCTTTACTCTACTATTAATTCTTTGGTTTATTCATATCTGATTTACTTGTCATTTTGCTTGATTCTATGAATTAAATTTCAATATAAACCTTGATTCTCTAATTCGTCTGCCAGTTGTAACGCAGCACAACATTTACAAAAGCATGACACGCAACAGTCGTTGATCAGTGATCCCTACAAATCGATATATAAATTTGTATTAGAATTCATTGGCATTTTGCCACATTTACACAAGTTACTGGTAAGCTCATTAATATGAAAAATTATTTTTTTCCATGAAATTTGACTCTAAACTCAACACCAGTGTGTGCTCTACAAAATGACACTAGCACATTTTGTTATAAGTCTTTTATTGTCAAGATCCGATTAGACTCCAGGCTTTTTGAAAGTCTCAACTTCAAATACAGAAAAACGCTTTTCAACAGTGCCAGTAAGAGTTACATGTGTGCGTAAATCGTGGGCCGAACCTCGTCTAACTGATTTATTAGTCGTTCTAACTTAAACTGACACCATCTAAAGGTATTTCTTTTTCAAATTTGAACAGTGGGATTTTACGAATTCTAGACTCTAATTAGATCTTGGCAATAAAAGACGTATGACAAAATATGCTATGTTATAACATCCGCTTAAATAGAAATCTAAATTTCACACTAGCTATAACATAAAAAATTCATCACTTGTAAGCTACAGCAAACGAAAACACCAAGATTTTGAACCTTTCTATCATTCAACTCAGCATGATGGGTACTGTAAATACTGATGTTTTTGCATTGGTTCCAGAAACCTTTTTTAATCGTAGAAGAATGCCTGTATATCTGCAATGCAGAATGCATATAATTCATTGCAAATATTCACCTTAATCCTCCTTGCTGTACGAAGTTTTGCTCGAAGACCAAATAAAGAACAGGGACAGCAGCCTAACCATTGCGGTTCACCATTACTGTTTGCTACCTTGCACATGAAACATGGGTAACAAAAGTACGCAAAACAACCTAAAGATTATACAAGAAAATTCAACAATGGCTTAAACAAATTATGAACAGACAAATTTCATTTCTATTCTGAAATATACTTACATCGGCCGACAGGTTTGCATTTACATAATCCTGTGTACCATTCGTGTTCGAAGTCCCACACACTACGCGATTGCCCATTATAATAATGATCATTTTGTGTAATAATTTTTCGATTATCTTGTCGACTAAAATATACACATCTCACGAATGATAATTATATATTAATGTGAAGCTTCAGACTTCTATAACTGCGACGGGACTATATTTCAATTTCTGTATGAGTACAAGTGTTTTATTTCCTTCTGTATGGAAAACAACAGATTATTATATTAAAGGAGAAATACCAACCCTCGAGTACTCATTTTTTTCTTTTAATATCAAGAAAAATAAATTTTAATAATAGTGATTAAGCTTGTAAGACCATTTTTTTAATGCAATGTACTTTTTATTATTTATATGTCAGGCAAACTGTTTGTTATTCTATGTGCGAAAAGAATAAAAGAGAGTTCGCCAATTGTTCTTTTATACACGAACGAAAATATTATTGTTTATTTTTCATACAATACTCCCACTGTTCAGTCTAAAAAACGTGCGTTGCGAATCAAAATAACGAGCGAATATGCTTATATGAAGAAGAAAAGCTTTCGTTAATTTTCTCTTTTGCCTACTCGTTTTACATTTTACTAGTGTTACTATGGTTCAAGAATAAACAAATTTTTCTCTTTTCAAGTTTTAAAATATAAAAAATTGATTAACCTGATAATCAATAGTTCTGGTGCAGTAGGTGATGTGATGAATTTTATTGTTCTTTTTCATTTCGGTTCTAATGGTGCATTGTAGGATGATTTCATCTGCTTGTTGTCATTTACTTTTTATATGTTGTAATTCTTCATTTTAAATCGAGACTTAACTCTTATTTATTAAAAGCGATTCTGTTGATGATGATCTGTGTAGTGCATAACTAAATTGAAAAAGCAATAATCAGTTATTGTAACGTAATTTTTCACTGAAGATGGTAGTAATTGACATTCATGTAAATGTAATCATATGGAAGTGTTATTCATATCTATTTGATCTTATATGTAATTTGTTTTAATATCATTTATTGTTGATAATCATTTTGAATAGAATAGATAGCAAAAATTGTAGTAAACTACTTGAAATTAATAGAATAGATAGTTGATGTATTCAAGTATAAAGACTTGATCATATACACTGAGAAATTCAGCCGTTTTTATAGATGTAAGCAGAATCGAAATCTCAGTGGCAGTATGATAGAGAGCGAGGGCTATGAGTATCTGTACTGTCGAAAGTCTTGCTAGAGATTTCTGAGATTTCATTCAACTTTTCTCCATTTCTAATCCTGGAAAGTTATGACAACTTATATGTATTTATTTAAGGATCAGCTTTAAGTCTACCGTCTGTTAAAAATCTATCTCGTTAACTACAAGTTTGATCTCGACTAAACTTTCAGAGAATGTTGACAATGTCTAAGTATGGTGATGAAATTTGCCTTTTACCTCTATCTGCATCTGTCTCCGTTCGCAAGATATCACTACAGCAAGGAGAAAAATGAGGTCCTTTCTCAAAAATACCGCCTAGATAGATGATGGAGATGTCGAGTTCGTCTTAAAACGAAGCAAACACTTATCGTAATAATGTACAAGAGCCGAGTTTTGACTTTTCCTTTTGTTAATTTTTTCCAGGCAACACAAGTCAAAAATTCAGAAAACCTGTTTTTCAGAATTCCTTCACTGTATCAAAAATCAGACTCTTGTACGTTGTAGCCCTACGTATCAGCTATATTTTAAGACCAGAAGTTGGCCAATCCTTCTTGGTTGCACCATTAGAACAGGCCTAGAGAAACAATTTTTAGGTATATGGGCGCGAGTGTATGATACAGATTTAAAGCCTTAGAAAAACGGTCATAACTTTTGATCAAAGCATCGCTCACAGCTGAGAGACATCAAATTTTAACGAAAAATGTTTACTGTACAAACTAACATCATTAAAATCCTTTTTGATTCCAGAATTTTCCTGTTTGGAAACACTACGAAAAAATAACCAAAGTAAAGATATATTTAGAAGGTATTCTCAGTTACAAATTTAGCATAAAATGGTTTTTTCAAACTTTTACATTTAGAGAATTCTGTTATTGTATTAATGTTTCAAAATCTTTTCTCTTTGTTGCAATTCTTCCATAGATCGTATTAAAGACGGTATTAGATGATGATAATCAGATATGAGTAATATATACTCACGATTTATGTCTCAGATAAAAGTTTCAGATTTCCAGGGCTATTAAGATGAGAGATATAACAAAAAGAGAAAAAATGAAATTTTCTCACATTTGGTGAAGTCATAGAAATTATTGATACTTTTATTTCAGTAATCAGGTCAACTCGTGCAGTATTGTACCAAATTCTTTACATAGGTAGATATCGAGGTCATGTTGTTCATATTGTTCGATCTTTTCTTAATAAACAATAACAACAACAAATACTTGAAACCAGTCATTCATTTATTCACAAAAAACAATATATTGCTAATTCTAATGAGTGATTACAATAGTGTATATATGAAAAGAAAATTACTGAACTATGGAATGTACTTATTGAAAAATGAAGCTTTAGATAATTCACTTTTCAAGAATAGATTCAAAAATAATAAAATTATTTACAATTTTCATTCTCTTAGACAGAAATGAAAGACGGTTAAAAAAAAACAGAAAAGTTTGAATAACCGGTTATATCTTTTGAGAGTATATTCTACGCATAAAAAAAGAAAAATAACCACACACTGAATTGGACCATTTTTAAAATACTTAACAATTATATTAAAAGTGCACAAAAAAAGATCACTAAATTACAGTTCAGTTTATTGCCCAAAGAGAGTTTTACCATTGAACTATGGTAATAGAAAAAAATCACCATCATAACACACACACATATCAGTGTGTGAGAGAAAATTATGACAGATTATTCGACAAATTAAAATCATTAAAGTCTCTTCGCACGGAAAAGACAACAAGACAAAACAATGCGAGTGTACTGTTCAGTAGCATTAGTTGAACAGTCAGTGTGGAATGAGCTAACGATAAATACGAAGTGGTTCACTTTGAACATAAATTTCTATCGACAAAACAAAAAGAACGATAATAACACCTTGTTACAAAGGCAAAACAATATTTCAATGTGTCTCATATTAAGCATTTCAAACTCAAATCGTTCAGACACAACCATTTCTTCTTCTCGTGTTTAAAAATACAACAAAAAAACGTCGTATAAAAAAGTATAGAATATTTTAATAATAAATAAATAGGTAATCTAATGACAGAAACAAAATGAAGCTCTTTTACCTTCGATATATAATATAGAAGAAAAAATCTGACAAATATGAGTGAAGACAAAATAGGGAAAGAAATGAGAATATCCTGAGTACAATGGCTTCATTTTGCGTCTTGTACGATGATTCACAACAATTTCGTCAGAATAGATAGGTGTATAGATTATAATTCGGCAACACTTTGAGATATTTGTTGACATAAACGTTGTAAATCTTGAGATTTTGCTTGAATTGTATCATGAAAATCTTGTGATTTTGTTATAAATAATTCATTCATACTTACTAGTTTATGCCGATGATTATTCACATTATTACCCGGTGACATAGGACGAGATCGTGACGTGCCACTAATAACAACATTATCACGCTGCGGTGTTTGACGGTGTAATAACTTTAATTCTGTATTTAAACTATAATTATTTGATTCAACCGACTTAAATAAACAAACCAAAAAATGATGATATAATAACAAATTAGATTTGAATGATAGAATCCACGTGTACTTAGAAAAGTCTAATAATGACTACACTTGTTCTTTTTCACATACCGATAGTCGACTTTGTAATGTTCCGATTTGTGACATGTACTTTTGTACTTGATTTTCAAGTGCGAACATTTTCTAAATGATGAAAGCATTTTAATTCAATGAATAATATTGGTTCGTACTATGTTACCTACCTGTTCTTGCTCTTTATTTCGTTGATCAGCTGCGTCCAAAAGACTTTTCAATTCTTGGGCATTATGGCCACTTGATGTACTACCAACTGTGTGATTGGCTACCTAAAAAAAGTGACTTCACTTATGGATTATTTTACATAAAAACGTTTACCATTAGTCGAAGTCGTGAACATTCATCACGATAAAATTGTAATTGACGTTTCCATTCTTCAACATTTGAATGACTTTCTTGAAGTGCCGTTGTCAGTTTAACATTGTTATTTCGCAAAGTTTCCAAGTCATTTTGCCACTGTTTTGCATTCTGAGAGCTAACAGTAATCTCAGTTAAATACATATGCTTTAACTATTGATATCATTACCTTTGTGTTAATGCCAGTTTTAAAGAATCATTCTCATATTTTAACTGTTCATCATTTGAATATACCGACCAATCTGCTTCCGACTAAAGAGAGAATTACTTATTAGTTAATTTGAAGAAAAAAAATATCAATAAAAGAGTTGTTACTCGTGGTGTTTGTCTTGTGCCTACACTACTACTCCTTTGATCACTTCTATGTATATTTCTTGTTGCTTCTTTTACTTCAACAAATTTTTCCATAAACTATGAGACAAACGAAAAGAAAGTAAGTTGAAATCAAACTCAAAGTTTCATTTACTCGATTCAAATCTGTTTCGTTAGCAAATCCTAAACCATAAACTGTATTTGCTCGAGAATCGACCCATTGACAAAATTTTTGTGAAGTTTTTGTGAATGTCATCCGAGGAGATACAACGGTGTTAATTAAAACCTATTAGATAGAAAGTATTTATCTTTATGTTAGATCGAAGTCATTGAATGAATACCTGAGAATTTTCAATCGATAGAATTCGATAAATATTTTTAACACTATCATGAAATATTTGAACATTTACTATAAAATCGAAGAAATAAATTATTTAATCACAGATAAAGCTAAACATGAAAAAAATTTACCAGCCCCGATCGATAACTGTACCCATGATTTTCGTGTTTCTGAATCAACCTAAAATTCAATTTTATCTTATATTTCTAACTTTCGATATGTTTGTGTATTTAAAACTAACCTGAAATATATGTGCTTTACATGTAAAAAGTGGATGCTGTTCACTAAAAAGCCAAAAAGACACATGAGAAAAGTTTTTTTTCAAAATTTGCTTCTAATATTAATTTTAATTCTACCCCATTTCTTCCAGATGCATTAGAGAACCGACGCTTTTCCAATTACATTAAAAGATTGAATTATGTTCGTAACACGTTTTCGACGGTAAAAATCTCAAATAACAAAGTTATTGATCGTTATATTATTGAATGTGTTCCTTTTAGAAACAAACTATTATAAATATGAAATAATATATCTTACCCGCAAGCAACAAAAAAAAAGTCGAAACCAAAACAAATAAATAAAATCTACCGATGATGTTGTATTCATATTATATTATATGTGACAGAATTAATATACTAAACATATTGACAAAACGAAATCGATATAACTCATCCGTTCGTAATAATTAGTTGGATTGCACGAATATTTTACTAATCTTTCGCGCGTCCTACAGAGTACGTTGCTGATCGAGGATCTGAGATCACTAAAAGAATAGCGAAATTGAGATACGTAAAGATATAAAGCGCCATCTATGAAAAACGAAGAAAAAGAAAGAATTATGATTGGCGTAGCAATATCCTTTGAGAGAACTTCCATTCGGTACATTAGTTTTCACAGAAAACTTTATTCCACAATAAAGTGTGCTGACTTCGCTTTATTACAGTCGTTTTCTTGTGTTTCTCAAAACTTGTACTTTTTTTCCGAAAACACGAATAAGTAAATGGAACGTTTTCACCCACTCTATTTTAGTTCTTGAGTCAAATGAGAAACAAACAATAGTGAAAAATACTCGATAATTTGTTTAGATTAATGTACTGAGGTTTCATGTATTTTTCAGATAATATTTAATGGATATTAATGATGTCGGTTAATGAGTTTCATCCCTATGACAAAGAAAGGTGATTTAATAAATTGAAAATTATTTTTAGTAATCTGATTTTAATTTTTTAGCTGGTATTTTGGAAATCTTTCTCGGGCAGAAACAAATGATATTTTAGCAGAACAAGAAAGTGGAACATTTCTCGTTCGTGATTCAACGACATTGAAAGGAGACTATGTCCTATGTGTTAAGTAAGTTGTTAACAATAATATAGTTTCTCAAATAACTAGACCTATTTTCTTGTCATCATTAGAGAAGGAGTCAAAGTAATGCATTACATTATTAATAAAATTGAACAAGGTGGAACATTAAAATATAAAATTGGACAAAATAATTTTGAAGATATGCCATCACTTTTAAAACATTATACACTCCATTATTTAGACATTGCTCCATTATTAAAGCCAGTAAGATTGAATGTTTTGGCTTCGTTAGCAATGGAATAATATGTTGTAGTTGTTATTGTTTTTAAAAGGTTTCTAAACCAAGTGCAATTAATGGAAAAGAACGACAAATGGCATCAGGCTCTGATTCAAATGATAAAATTAAACGAACATCAAGTAATGAGGTATGCAGATTGATTTTTTCCACACAAAGAGTAACCATATTTTTATTTTTATTTTATTTTATAGACAAATATGAATCATGATTCTGTGAAATCAGATTTTACTGATAGTACCAACAGTCACCCAGATGAAAGACATAGTTCCAAAGTAAGAATTAATGTAGATTTTAATTTGTTTCTATTGAAATCTATATACTTTTGTTCTTAGCACATGATAATATATTGTTTTCTTCTGTTTTAGACTATATTAAAACTTCCAGCTAAAGCACGTGTTATAAAAAATCGAATACCAAGTTTATATGACAAAAGTGCATTACGTTTAGAAATTGGTGATATTATTTATGTGACAAAAGCCGATAATAATGGACAATGTGAAGGACAATTGTTATCATCAAATCGTCAAGGAACATTTCCATTTAATTATGTAGAGTTTTTTGATGATAATGATGATGTAAATATTATTAACAATGACAATAGTATAGAGGAAACAAATATAAATAATAATAGTAGTTTCGATGAAACAAAACAAAACTAAACAATGATATTTATTTATATTTTTGTCTAATTCCTATGTGGTTATAAATGGAATTTCTCTTTTTCTTTTTACACTTTAGACAAACTCGCGTCTACAAAAAAGAATATTTTTTCTACTCGTCTCTACTTTAACTTGTGTGTATTCTTCTTTTTCCATTTTGTTAATGATGAGTTTTATTTCAAGAGGTACGGTGAATTTCTTTTTTCTTAACTAACGAGACAACATAAAATGTATATGGAAAAAGCAACATTATTGTACAGTTATTCCAATTTCTTCGAATAAAAATAATCTTAATCTAAACGAGTTTAGTCAAAAAGTAGTGATTGCATAGAGTTTTTTTTAATATGTCAATCAAATGTTTTCTTTGTCAGTATTTAATTTAACTTGTGGTTCTTCTTATATTATTGTTTCACTACTTTTTGAATACATATTGTTTGTATGATGTATGTTTATTTCTAGTCAACAAAATAAAACGAAGATGCTTAAAGTTGTAAGGAAAAGTACGAATGGTAAATATATTTTTATTAAAGAATGTAGCCAAGCTCTTAGTTTATTTTTGTACAGGATAAATGAAAAGAGAGTGTACATATTGAAAATGATAATTTTATTAAGGAATTTTTTACTCTTGTATGAGTTTGGTTAAATGTTTGTTGATAAATTACTCAGTGTTTTCTATAAAGTGAAACATTTCGATTTTTGAATTCTTAACTTTTTTCTGACTAGGATTTATTATTCAAGAACTTTAACCAATCAGATTTTTGAATGATAGAATTGTAAGTAAATGAGTAGAGTGAGTAGAGTCAAAGTGAATAGATACGAATATACACCCACTACTTATTTATTATGAATTTTAAGCTATAGTTTTGCTTCAACATGAATTGCAATTATTGGATTTTCATCCTGATTTGATATGCTAATTGAAGCTTGACCATCAGATTGAACGGTAATTGTTTTACCCGAACATTTTCCTCCTTCCAAATTGCCCGATATTACATCACAATATTGACCACCTGGTAGGCCCGTTTGAAGAGAATGGTTGATACTTTGATCATCATTGTTGATGGCAATAAACGCTAAACAAACGAAACGAAGTAGTCGTTTATAATGAATACTCATCGACACGGCTTTTTTCATTATAAAACTGTTTCATAGTCACCTTTGTTTCCACGAGAGAAGGCAATCGCATTGTTTCCATTATCCCACCTAGAAAAACATCGAAAATGGTGCTTCACAAGCTATGAATGAATAAGATTATTTTTATATTCTCACCAATTATTCACCGGTTGAAATTCGGCTACATTTCGGAAGCCAACCATATTCGTAATTTGTCTCCATCTATGTTCACATACCCATCCACCACCACACGTCGAATCACTAAAACATTTTGACAATAATACCTAACCGTCATACTTTTTTACTCTCAAATTTTCTATACAACTTGATTACCCATTGATTATTACAGCATTCGTGTTGCCGGATCCGTCTGAAGGTGGTCCTTGTGCATCGTTGTTTCTATCGAAATTATAACTGGACATAATAACAGGATATCCTTAAAAAAAATAAGTGGAAATTGATTTTGAAAGAAAAAGTTGAATTACTTACCGTATGGCCAACTTAACATAAATGCTGTTCCTATTTTATATGCCCGACTTTCGAAAAACGTTAAAATTTCACCACCAGCACCTGTTAAGTAACAACTTAGCATTTTCATCGTAGTTTTTTAAAACCAGCTTTAATACATTCGTTTAACATACCATGACCCCGTTGATTATCATGATTATCGATAAATATTTGCGCATCACCATCGGGAATCATTCCCCAACCTGTTAAGTAATATAATCATCACAGTAATAAATTGTTTTAATAATCATTCAGCTTATTTAATGAAGATAAAATACCTGTGCCAAAGTTGCTCAAATATTTTAACTTTTGACCGAATTTTTTTTTTACTACTTCTGAGAGAAATTTTCCATATTTAAATTCTGATACACGTCCCATCCCGGTATAATCAGTATTCTTAATAGGTTCTCCTCCAAGATCAATGACTTCAAAATAAATAAATGGTCGTTTTCCACTTCCAAATGTTCTAGAAAAAAAAAATTTTGAACTATGATGATTTCCACTGTATTTTTTCCTCACTGTTGGGGTAAATTATTCAATTTGGAAATTATAGTATTCAACTCATGTGGCCACATATGTTTAGCAGCATCAACTCGAAATCCAGCTACACCAATGTTGATTAATCTATTCATATAATCAACTATTTTACCCACTACATAATCCTTACTGAGCGCTAAATCTGGTAGACCAACCAGTTTGCAATTTCTAACCTATATGAGCAAAAATACAGCTCAGTGATAGCATCTAGTCTAGATGTAAATATGGTATACCTGATCAGCATCACCATAGTTTTCAATATTACCACTACCTGTCCTGCACAATCCATCATTGAAATCTAAACATTCCAAAACAGAATAGATAATCGATGGCTATGCTGCACGCTTATCTTATACCCCATGCGCTAAAAGGTACGCCAGGAAAATCTTTTGAGCCAGGATTGTACGATGAACCTAAATTCGATATACTCAGTTTAATAGGCTAAAACATTAATTAGGAATAGTACGCTGTTTACCGCCAGAGCCTTGATTTCCACCTGCAGCCATATGATTGATTACAGCATCAACATAAATGCGTACACCAGCAGCGTTACAACGATTAACCATATCGATAAACTGTTGTTCGTTTCCACTTCGGCTAATCAATTTATAGCTTACTGGTTGATAACGTTGCCACCACGGTCTTCTATCAATTAATGCGTGTTCGTTAGGTGGAGATACCTATATACAGTAAAAGGTAACTCCACTTTATCTGTCATTCAAAATATTAAAATTCAGCATACTTGAACACCGGAAAATCCTTTGGGACCCAAAAAGCGTTCACATTCCGCTGCAATATCAGCCCATTTCCATTCAAACAAATGAACAGCAACTTGTCTTCGACCGGCCGATTGTGGATCTTTTGTTCTTGTTGTTGAACTACGTAAGTCATCGATCTATTTGAAAAAGAGCTTTGGTTTGTTGTATAATCATGTCTAACGGGATTCTAACGGTATATTGTATAGCTACTGAACATGTTGTTAGCTTCAATTTTAGCAGAAACTGACTTTACTTGGAATTACAAAATAAGGGAATAGTTCAGAGTATAAGAACCAGAGACCGTCGCAGGGCAACTTTTTTTCGCCCTGTTCTGTTCTGCCGCCCTGCCCTGTCAAAAAATTACTCACAACTTATTTTTGGTCCTGCAGTGTAAAAGAAAGTTTTTCTCCTTTACCTCGAAGACTTTATCTTCAAGAAACTCATCACAAACACTGGATGTGTTTCTCGTGCGTAACAGAATCTTTTTTTTATTAATTATCAATTTTAGAAAAGTCGGCTGTCATTTTTATTTACACATATACGAGAGATCTCAAAATTTTACTTAAAAAGAAGCTTGAAAATCTGGGCTAATCAAGGAATTTTTTGTTGCCCTGCCCTGCAACAGGGCAGCCCTGTCCTGCAACAGGGCAGCCCTGTCCTGCGACGATTTCTGATAAGAACTGATAGAACAATTCGGTAAAAACTGGAAATTTTACCGGTGATCCATAGCTAATGGCTTGAATCCATATAAAACAGAAGCAAAATACGATGGTAAACATTATTAAAAACGTTTAGAGGATGTGATATGGTATATTGATTTTTACTACTTATGAGACCGTCCATGAGAAAACCGACCTTTTTACAGATGGTCGGCACCTGTCAAATTTTATTTTTTTTTCTCTGTATGCTAGATCGGTAGAGCATGTTGTGAAACTAAGAAAACCAAAATATCTCATTTTGAAAGTGTCTTCTTCACGAGATTCAGGCCCAACAACTTTGACCACTAAGGATCAGTATGCATAAA